ACTGGATGATGTATTGTTGGTATCACTACTTTGAAACCAATGTTCACAAGCTTATAATATGTATTACTGACATACATGGGTGCATGCATGGCGTACAGATAGTAGTTGTGCAGGCATTGCTGTCCAAAGTCAGTATTTTTTTTGTCGCAAAAGAGCGACTATTATTGCGGTGGCATTCTTGTTCATGGTGCAGGAAATCTCTGGACATGACAAAAGTATATATCTAGCTAGGTGGCATTGCTTCAGCATTTTTTGAGCTCTTCAAGAATATAGACAAGGTAGTAAGTTTCATGGTGGATCAAGCACGATTTTAGTTTATTTGTTTGTGAGCACTACCATAATTTACATGGGATTTGTATGCAAACTTCTGAAAATAAGGTTGAATGTTCATTTTTAGTGGGGTCATATTTTGTGACAATGACTTCACAATCACATTTCTAAATATGTCGTTTAATTTTACATTTTTATAAGCAGTTGGTTTGCTTATTTCATATCACTCCATAAAACTAGATATTTTGAGTTTTGAAATTCTACAAATCATACTTCTGTCATTTCCTGTTCCTTCACTCATGGCTTCATCCATTCCCAGTGACCAACACTATGTTACATATGCCACTAACATAAGTTGACTAGCTACAGCTCGAAAATCCAGATTGTATAATCACCACGGTGAGAGCTGAGAACTGCATTCCTTCCAATTTGGAAAAAAGGTTGTTGGTCAATTTGGTATTCACTAGACCTAAATAGCAGCCACTTGCTTTAGTAAAATAGAGAGTAAAATTCGTGGTTTGCTTCAGTTCTTAAAACCTTTTTTGTCTTTTGATTACCAAAGTTCTCAGAAAAGTTTTCAGGACGTCTACTCATTATTTATCTTTTGGATCAAATTCAAATAATAATAAAATAAATGGATGTGATTCCATCATGGCCATTTCAAATATTTGAAAGTAAAATCCAAACATTATCCTTAGATTACAATAGGAATTACAGGTCAACTGTTCGAGATAAGAAATACAAATGATTTATTATATTATTAAAAAAAGAAAAAAATTAGTTAAAAAGAATGGATGTGATTTGCTTGAAAGAACGTGTATCGAGTTTCCAGAAAAACAACGCTAGGCTCACTCTATTGGAATCAGTCGGATCAGAAAAGAAAACATATATAAGAGGAAAGCTGGAGTCTGAACCTAACTTATATACGTGTCTTTCCATATAACTTATTATAAGTGATTTTTTATGATTAGGAAAACACAATGGATTCATAAACTCTAAGGCATCTCCAACGCCGACCCTCAATTAAACCGTCCACAACCATCCGGACCACATGATCCGGACGTGTTGTACCATCTAATGCGGGCTTGTATCGGTCCACAGGGCAGTCCAGACGTACTTTCTCCCGCAAACCGGAGACAACACATGGGGGAGGGGGGCTTTGCACGCGTCCGGACAACACCCACGACTGCTTCCGACCACTCGTGCCCACCCAAACCCCCTCCTCTCTCGCACACACGTGTTCCCGCTCTGCGCCGGCTGCCCACATTCATGGCTCCAGTACCGCCCCACGCACGCCAAGGGTACCGCCCCGCTGCACGCCGGCTAAACACACATCCTGCCTCATTCCTCCAGACTGCCCGCCTTCCACCATTAAACCCGCGCGTGTACCAGGATAATTACTGCAGCCACAT